CGGACCCCCCACCCAGGCAGGGGGTTCCCTGCAAACTTGGGGGGGGATCCTGCAAATTTGGGCCGCCCTTGGGCAAATTAAGACCCAAATTCTGCAAAATTGGCCTCAAATCCCACAACTCCAGACGCAAATCCTGCAAATTTGGCCTGAAATCCTGCAAATTTGTGCCAAAATCCTGCAAATTTGGCCTGAAATCCTGCAAATTTGGCCTGAAATCCTGCAAATTTGTGCCAAAATCCTGCAAATTTGGCCTGAAATCCTGCAAATTTGTGCCAAAATCCTGCAAATTTGCATGAAAATCCTGCAACTTTGGCCTGAAATGCTCCAAATTTGGCCTGCCATCCTGCAAATTTGGCCTGAAATCCTCCAAATTCAGCCTAAAATCCTGCAAATCTGGGCCAAAATCCCATTAATTTGGCCCCAAATCCTGCAACTCAGGCCTGAAATCCTGCCATTTTGGCCTGAAAACCCGGAAATTTGGGCAAAATACTGCAAACTGGGCTTCAAATCCTGCAAATGCGAGCCAAACCCCCACCAATTTGGCCTGAAATCTGCAAATCTGCTTGAAATCCTGCAAATTTGGCGAAATCTTGTGAAGTGGGGCCGAAATGCTGCCAATTGGGACCAAAATTCCACCAATTTGGCCTAAAACTGCAGAAATTGGAGCTAAAATCCTGCAAATTGGGACCAAAATCCCACTGATTTGGCCTGAAATCCCCAAAATTGGGACTAAAATCGCTCAAACTTGGCCTGAAATCCCACCGACTGGGATTAAAACCTGCAAATTTCGGCCAAAACTCAGCAAATCAGGCCTCAAAATCCTGCAAAGTGGAGCCAAAATTCCACAAATTTGGACTAAAATGTGCGAATCTGCTTGAAATCCTGTAAATTTGGCAGGAAATCTTGCGAAGCGGGGCCGAAACCCTGCCCGTTGGGACCAAAATTCCACCAATTTGGCCTCAAATTCCAGAAATCGGGTCTAAAATCCTCCAAATTGTGCCTGAAATCCTGCAAAGTGGGGCCGAAATCCCAAGTGGGACTAAAATCCACCGATTGGGCCTGAAATCCCTCAAATTTGGCCTAAAATCCTCCCAACTGGGCGTGAAAACCTGCCAATGTGGGCTGAGAGCCCAGTGATTGGGACCAAAATCCCACTGATTCATCCTGAAATCCCCAAAATTGGGCCTAAAATCCTCCAAATCAGGCTGAAATCCTGCAAAGTGGGGCCAAAATCCCAGAAATTTGGCCTAAAATCTGCAAATCTGCTTGAAATCCTGCAAATTTGGCCTGAAATCTTGAGAGTGGAGCCGAAATCCCACCAATTTGGGCTAAAATCCCATCGATTTGGCCTGAAATTCCAGAAATTTGGCCTAAACCCCTCCAAATTGTGCCTGAAATCCTGCAAAGCGGGGCCAAAATCCCCCAGATTCGGACTGAAATCCCACCGATTCCGCCTGCCATCCCCCCGATTTGGTCTAAAATTCTCCAAATTGGGCCCAAAATCCTGCAAAATGGGCCTGAAATCCCTCAAATTCGGCCCGAAACGCCACATATTTGGGCCGAAATCCCTCAAATTTGGGCTGAAATCCCTCAAATTCAGACTGAAAACCCAGAAATTTGGGCTGAAACCCCTCAAATTCGGCCTGAAACGCCACAAATTTGGGCCGAAACCCCACAAATTTGGGCTGAAATCCCTCAAATTCGGCCTGAAACGCTACAAATTTGGGCCGAAACCCCTCAAATTTGGGCTGAAATCCCTCAAATTCGGCCTGAAATGCTACAAATTTGGGCTGAAATCCCTCAAATTCGGCCTGAAACACTACAAATTTGGGCCGAAATCCCACAAATTTGGGCCGAAATCCCTCAAATTCGGGCCGAAACCCCACAAATTTGGGCCAAAACCCCACAAATTTGGGCTGAAATCCCTCAAATTCGGCCTGAAACACTACAAATTTGGGCCGAAATCCCACAAATTTGGGCCGAAATCCCTCAAATTCGGGCCGAAACCCCACAAATTTGGGCCAAAACCCCACAAATTTGGGCTGAAATCCCTCAAATTCGGCCTGAAACACTACAAATTTGGGCCGAAATCCCACAAATTTGGGCTGAAATTCCTCAAATTCGGCCTGAAACCCCACAAATTTGGGCTGAAATTCCTCAAATTCGGCCTGAAACCTCACAAATTTGGGCCAAAACACCACAAATTTGGGCTGAAACCCCTCAAATTCGGCCTGAAACCCCACAAATTTGGGCTGAAACCCCTCAAATTCGGCCTGAAACCCCACAAATTTGGGCTGAAACCCCTCAAATTCGGCCTGAAACCCCACAAATTTGGGCTGAAACCCCTCAAATTCGGCCTGAAACCCCACAAATTTGGGCTGAAACCCCTCAAATTCGGCCTGAAACCCCACAAATTTGGGCTGAAACCCCTCAAATTCGGCCTGAAACCCCACAAATTTGGGCTGAAACCCCTCAAATTCGGCCTGAAACCCCACAAATTTGGGCTGAAACCCCTCAAATTCGGCCTGAAACCCCACAAATTTGGGCTGAAACCCCTCAAATTCGGCCTGAAACCCCACAAATTTGGGCTGAAACCCCTCAAATTCGGCCTGAAACCCCACAAATTTGGGCTGAACCCCCACCAACCGCAACCGAACCCCCCCCGATTCCTCCCGAAATCCCCCCAATTGGGCCCCAAATCCCTCAAATCGTGCCCGGAATCCCTCAAAATGTGGGGCGCGTGCGCGGCGCCGGGGCGGCGCAGGAAGAGGCCGCAGACGGCAGGTTGTTATAGATGTATATTGTATATATGCCAATGCAATAATAAAAACAGTGCAAATACAGTTACAGTTTATAATACTCGTCCCCCCCGGCCCCGCTCCCCCCGTGCTCA